AAATGAAACTACCGAAAGTGCCGAAAAAGTCTTTTGGTGATGAAGAGTTGAAAGTTTTCCGAAATTGTTTCATTATCATCATTATCATCGGTTCAGTTCGCAAACAATGATGAATACCAAAGTAAAAAGATTTCGCAAACCCTTCTAGACCCAAAATAAAGTACCATTCTAATTGAAATGAACGGTATTTTCGGTTGGTATTTTGCGGGGGCTATTTTCAAAATAGTTACCTTCATATCGGAGGAATAAGGTTTAGTATATAATACTTCGTCACATTCATTTGGCTCTAAATGGATTAACAATCCAGCTATTGAGTTTGTCGAGGACGGACTTGTTGATGATTGAAATGAAACAAAATCAGAAATCAAAGTAACAAGTAGAAAAATACGAAGAAAAAAAATCTATTTGAAAAGCCTCAAAAAGCTACTCAACGCTACCAAATGTCAACAGCTAACGAAGCAAAGAGAAGGGAAAAAATGATGAAGATGAAATCGCTTACATGTGGTGAAATATATTAAAAACATTTGTGAATGGAAATAAATAGTTGTTCCGCGCACAAGTGTGTTATATTGAATTCAAGTGTACACACTTGAGGTATCTAGAGACCATTCAGCGGACTGTTTGTCAGCGAAAGATTTCGAGTGATGCTCGAAGAGGGCAAGTGTACATAAAAGTTTATTTTAGTAGTGGCAACCAAGAATAAGGGATAGGCAGAGAGAAAGTGGAAGAAAAAGACAGAGCGTAATGTCTGTGCAAGCGATAAAACCGAGCGTACAAAAGTCGATGTGTATGTTATGTGTGTGTGCATTGAAGCAGGTAGGAAAGTTTATCGGTTTGTTATTCGAAGAGCTCAAGAATGTTTGTTGTTGTTTCATAATTATGAAAATCGATCCATTTCGTACAGAAAAATAGACAGAGTAGTTATGGTCGTCATATTTAACATGTGGGCAACTATGGCCAGGTGAGTGGGAACCAAATTGCTTGTGGCAAAATATGGTTGAATAAATAACTTGGTTGTCATGACGTATATTTATTGCGAGGCATGAACTTAACGCCAAATGTGACCAAAAACACTTGATGTTGATTGCAATGACTCATTCAATGGATTGGTGGTTTGAGCACGAATGATTGCAAATGATTTTTTTCGCTCAAAAATCAGTACAAAACCGCGGTAATGCAAAATACGTGTTTTATCAATCGAATCATTTTAAATTAAATGCATTCGGTCTAATTAGATTATAATTGGTGTGGTCGTGGATTTCGATTGAATGGATCGATGGTGTGACCCGTGCAAAAATATGGATCATGTCGAATATAATTATCAAACCGCATTCACATCGTTGCCGTCGTATCCGCGTGTCCATTCATGAAATTCGCAAACCACGGGTGCTTGTTTTTAGTAAGCGAATTTCAATGCATAAATCAAGAATAACAAAAAAATTGTGTGCTATTCAAATCTGGTGTCAAAAGCAAGCGGCTCATTGAATTCAAAAGAAAAGCGGTCGAATGGGGAAAAATTGATTTTTATGTGAATGAAGTGTCAATAAACCTTATGAACTCTTCAACGTAATGACTTGGAAAGGAGCTAATTCTTTGAATACACAAAAATAGAACTTTAATCAAAATCTATTGAATCGAATCAAAAATAGATTTTTCCATTCATACATCCGCCACTAATCAAAAAGTGAACGCAATACAATAATGGTCAATCTTTTCTTTAGATATCTTTGGATCCATTCTAATCAAAAAATTTATAAATGGAACTACGTCAATCTATTTGGAAGTGATTCTTGATATAAACGAGTTAAATTTAAAAACTAAATATTTCTCACTTCCAAAGGTTCGCGGTCAATGTGAATATTTTGAATCAAAGTCGGAGGATTTGGACTCGAAAAATCTATGAAAATACACAGAAAAGTATTCTTGCTACGATCTTGCGAAAGAATTCTTAGGAAAACCCCAATTTCTAAGGAAAATAATTTTCCTGGACGAATTTTCCAAAGAGAAATGTAATCTGTGGATTGGGATCAGGAATCCGAAAAAAATGGTTCCAAGTTGATGAATGATACCTTGTTTGAGTTATGCGTAGTACAAACAAACTTAGAACGATTTTAAAGCTTGATACATCAAGCAAACCCGAAAGGGTACATAGCCTTCAATTAGATAAACACTTTTATTGGCAGAATTATTTATTCCACGGTGAAACACTTTTAATGGCATTTTAAAAGTATATAGGATATCGCAATGCTGAATTCTGCGTCGCGTTTCCATTCGATTGCAAAACTGACCATCATTTTCATATCAATTTTTGAATATTTACATTTTTTGTGAATTCTATTCACACAGTTGGTGATACAAACCAATACAAACATTATACTTTTATGCAAAGGCAATATTTTCGAATGCACAAGTAGTTCGAATGTAGTAGTTTGAATACTCAATATTTGTACCAATAAAATTTAAATTTCCAAATAATCTTGTGATGACGACACACTGAATGCAAACGTATACGACATCCATCAAGGAATTTGCATCGACGTCATCATCATTATCGGCATCATTGTGTAATATCTGCAGCACAGTATGTTGTATAATATCTGTGCACTCACTTTACATATTATATGCCCAAACGACATTAGACTACGCATTTCTGTTATAAAATAAAATCAATTGAAAAATTTCATGATTTAAATTAAGGTCATTTTTTTAGTTTCGCGCTCTCGTTCATTCCAACGAATAATTGTTTTTATAACAGAGATTGAGCTCAAAAATGCGCCCGCTTTACTTTGAATCGCAACACAAACATGATAACACCAGCCAGTAAAATTAAATACCACAATAACGTGACCCATCCAAAAAGCTCACTGATATGAATGTAATGAATTTTCAAATGAAAATTTTGGACTTATCCAAATGAAAAAAAAAAACTGAGGAGAAGAACGAAAAGTAACCAAAATACGGAATGCTTCAATGAATCTTTAAAATGTTGAATTCTCTGCACATTTTCCCTAGATTTATCTATTTACATTTATTACGGTGATTGTTTGTGCTTGAAATATATGAAAAACGCTAAAATAACTAATTCGAGTCCATAAAAACTGAATTGCTCCATACTTTGAGCATATTTAAAGTAAAGGTTGAGTTTTTATTCTAATCCAATAAATTTAATTTGAAAAAAACTATTAATCAAATTATCAATTTATTTATTTTTTTAATTCGTCCATGACCAATGTCGATACGTTTATTTACTTGTGTACAGTTGGTACGTGCTTAAAATACAGTCTGTCTCTGTTTCTGTGTCGCTTGTGAAGCTTAGCTTGTAGATTGTGAGTATCAAAAGGTCCCAGTAATGAGCTACAAAAAATTCAATTCAGCAAACCAAACGAAACCAAACCGCCCACACATACACAAAGCGAGAATACCAAACGGGAAAAACGTTTTCCAAAGCACAAATCCAAGCAGAGATGACTGTTGCGTATTGCCTTACCATTTTTCTCTATTTGAATGAGTTGGCTGTTGTCCCTCTTCTACCATCGCTTCTGTATTTTCTTTATCCGGTTTTCGCTTTGAATCAAATCACAATGCATATAATGTGCGATAAAATGAAATGTGCACTGAGATGAAAGAGAAACAGAAAGAAAGAGAGGAGAGAGAAAAAGAGAAAATCGTACAAAAAAGTTCCTTACAAGAAAACGTGAACTCATAAAAAAGCGTATTGCAGTAAATATCATGAAAGAGAAAACGGCTCGAAAATCATCATCGGGGATATTGAAGGCATGATTGACCCTATTTTACTGGCGTTCTAATATGTAGGCATTGAGAAGAATATGGGTAAATGCCCACACAAAATATTCGATTTTGTGTCAAGAGAAAATGAAAACGACTCAACAAAAGCGAAAATCTAAGCAATCCGACAACAACAAAAAAAGAGTTGATATGTTCATGCCAATATGCTGTTGGCCTGTATCAATATAATTGAAGACAGAAAAGAGAAAAATACACGCAAACAGTCAATTTTGATTCCCATGTCTATTGAGCCATTATTGAGCTCCGAGCATTCGATTTGCCATTTTTATTGTTTCATTATGAATTTGATCGATGATAAATTCACTGTTGCACAAGTAGCAGACCCATTTCTTGTTAAGTCAATCACTATATTGACTCAATTCAAGGACAACCAGAAAGAAACAACACAAGTCTAAATTGACGGCTTTTGACAAAAGGTCGACACATTTAATATGTGAATATTGAGTGAAAATAGCAATGCCACATTTGATTCATATATGCGATATAGTGTGACGATTTTCTTATCTATCGCTCTTTCTCTTTAAATTGAAGATAGATTTTCATATTTTAATTCAATTGTTATTGGCTCAGTAATATTGAGTCACGTCTTCAAAAGAACATAACACATAATTCAATTTAACCAAGTTTTTAGTCTTTATTTCGTTGAAATGAAAGGAATATTTCGTCGAATCATGGACTATTTCGTCGAATATATATATAGAAAATCATTGAGTGTGAAAAAATCCTTTCACAATCCTTTCAATTAATATTGTGAACAGAACGATAATGATGATGATGATTACTTCCATTATAAGACCTGTTCTATTCTGCGCACACACACAGATACACATTCTCTCAATTAAACCACATACATCTGTGTAAATCGGCTGATTTTTTTCTTCTCCTCACAATCGTCCTCTTTTTGCAATGAATTCAGCTCGAAATGAAAATGCTCGTTAATAAGATGTCTAATCGAATTTCTTTATTTTGCTAAATTGACGTTTTTATACACGATCTTCCATTTCTCCATATTATGTTATTTAGCAAATATTTCGTCATTATCCATCTAAATATATATTTTCTTCTTTCCCTTTTTTTCATATCATTTTCCGTATCTTCGTAATTTCCAATGGGCGTTGATTAAATTGGTTTTGTGACGCGACATGATCGGAATTTTGTATTGTTGTGTGTTGGGCCGGCATCCATTCATGCAGAAAAAGATTAGAGTAGACTCAGCATTGTATGGCAACGTGATATTAATAGTAATTTTAGCTAGTAATATCTGGTCATCACACGGACAAAATGTAAATCCACAACAAGACGATGTAGCCGATTACGTTGGACCCGGAGGCGATGGCGGCGGCGGTGGCAATAGTGACGGTGACAGAGTTACAAATAGTGGTGAGGTAATGGCATCACGTTTGCCCGTGCTCAATGAACATGAGCCAAGCTGCGAACAACTCAAAACCATGTGGAGGTAATGCAAAATCATACATATTTTTTTTCTATTTGCATTTGGACAACATTCAATCTTTTCTTTCGCTCACTTCCTGTGATCGTTTGGGAAATTCATTTTCATGTTCAAATACACTTATACATGTACACATAAATGCCCACACAAAATCCATTTAAATAATAATATGGAAAATTAATGCATATCTGTTCTGTATATGAACGAATAAATGGAAACATTTATTGTAATTCTCTTAATATGTATTTTATCCATTCATGCATTCAATTGATAGATTTTCAAGGCGTCAAGCACGAACATCAGAAATGTCAAATGAATTGCCCACATATCGAGATCCATTCAAGCATAACATTTGGGATCCATATTATTCATCAATTCGAAATGTGAACAGGTGATTATGACTCTTGAGCTTTATTTCCGCTTCATGGAATTTAGCTAAATTTCATTGGAATTCTATTCAATTTTGTACATTTATAAAATATTTGATATTTGCTTGACCATGCGAATGACACTTGTTGTTGTTGTTGTTTTTGCTAGGGGACGTGCTCAGCCTCGTTATTCTGGTTGGCGATTTCCAATGCAACCAACATATGGCACGATTAATTACAAAGCACCGGAAAAGGTGAACATGCAACCTGGACGAACGAGGTCATATAGTTATAATGACCTGTCGCGACTCTACAAATCCGGCCGGGAACCATACAATTTTATGCGGACATTGGGTCGTAATAATAACAACAATGATACATCGGCTCGACGTCGACAATCAACGCGAATGGGTGGCCGGGTGCAAACACATAATGTGCCGTTAAATTCGATACTAACGCCACAAAAAGGCAGCTTTAATCTTCTCAAAACGATCATGATTAATGAACGTTCCAAAGAATTGGAACAACAACGTCGCAATGAGGAAATGATCGCACGAGCATCGGTTCTAAAGGAATTAACAAATGGCCAAAGGTAAGTAACAGGGAAAAAAAAGGACACACCTTTCGCCATTCTTCTTAACATTCACTGACTCGAACCATTTTCGAAAAAAATGTTAATATGTTTTTGTGGTTGTTTCATTTTTTCGTTTTTCTTTTGATGTTGTTGCTGACGCTGTAATCTTGGTGGCGCAATGCAGGTACAAGCGAAGTAATTTTTCTTATTAATTTTTTTCTTTTGAGTGAAAACACATTGGCTGTCTGCTTATCTGAGCTCAAGTTGAGCTTAATACTGCTGTTATAAGTGTCGTGTTCCAGAATCGCGGCTGAATTCAACTTAAAATCATATTTTTTATTAGATATACCGAAAGTGTTTTATTTCCATGTTTAGTTCACTTCACAGCTCACATTTTTTTTAATGAACTAAACAAAAAGACAATAATTTTCTTTTTTATATTTCACATACAAATATACAAATCAAATGTTTTTTTGTCTAAACAACAAATTGACATATAATATATATGACAATACGACAAACAGTCAATTTTATCTATCATATTTTTCTTTTGTTTCATTCGTTCGCACTGAAGAAAACAAAGATGAAACAAAACAAAATAGAAAATCTAATTTTAAGACTTCTTAAGAAACAAACTAATTTTTATCGATTTAAGAACGAAAAAATGTACTTATGGATCTTCTTTGTATTTTATTTTTGTGTTTTTGTTTTATGCTTGACAAAACTCTTAATGATACATTTTAATAATACATATATTCACTCTACGTTACATATTATATCTATATAATCACACGTGACAGATGCTACAATTACATGCTGTGACGTTAATTCGGCTCGATATCATTGTATCGAATTCGAAATGTAACATCTGTCATGTATGTTCATATGCTCTCTTATGTTCATATATACATTTAAATATACACATTCACGCAAACGCCAAAAAACGCCAAAAAAAATATTAGAAAGAAAATGTTGACGACGACGATGATAATGACAATAATTTAAAATAATGGTCAATTACAAGATGTTTAAAAATGAAATTTACACAAAATCTTATGACGTTTTCACCCACGATTTAAAAAGCAACAACACATAAACACATTTACATTTCACGAGAAAAAAAAGAAGAAAAAAGAATACCCTACGATCTGTGGAGCCGCTTTTCCATAAAACTTTGTTAATATATATCACCAAGAACTGTCAATTTGCTGGAAAGATTAGCTGCAATTAGAACAAAATTTATATATTTACTATACGGTTTGTGAGGCCCAAACAAATTCTCCTTCTCGTAAACGCTCAAAATGCGTAGGAGACGAGGGAAAAGTTCTGCAAACTAACACACAACTTTCGGAATTATATTTGGGATTATGTTGATTTTTGCTCTCGTATGCAATTCAAGCACTGTTAAAGTGATTTCAGCAAAGAGAGAATCGAGAAGAATGAGACAGACAGAGTTAAAATACTATAATCATCATTTCAATGTTACAATCCAAATAAATCCATATTGTGGTTTATTCAAACCGTGACATTTGTTAATAAAATTCAACAAATATGGTATTTTTTTGTTATTGTTGTTCTTGTGGTCATATGGAAACCAAAAAAAGGAGCTTAATAGAATTTATAATTTCCTGACCTCAAATTAGATTCTTTTACAGTCAGCAATCCATCTATAACTAAATACTCTCACCTTTCCTAGTTGTGATGCAAATGGGGCTATGATATACATTGTGGGTTTTTGCATTTTATCAATTGATTGAGTTAAACACATGTATCCTTATTTCCTTCAACACATCGATGGTATGGTTTAGTTTTCTCTCCCGCTCACAGATCATTCATTCACTCACTCAGACAGTCAATTTCTACACAAAAGCTTACTTTTTACCTAATGACAATCTTCATTTTAACACATTATTTGCGTGTTTTCATTCTTATTTGTGCCAAAAAAAATGAACTAATAACTATTTAAACAAATTTTCAATCAATTATGATTAAAACAAATGTACTTTTAAAACTAGTTTTTAAACAAAAATAAAATTTAAAACATTTACTGTCTGGTTATTGCAATTGTAAAAAAAAATCAAACCAAAAAAAAAAAGAAAAGCTATTCATATTCATTGTGAACATATTCACAAGCATATGTGTGTATTTGTTAAAAAAAATCGTATAATATACATCATTATTATTAAGTGCGAGCAACTAAAAAACCCTGTGTGACCAACTCATTTCATTGACTGAGATTGTGATTTTTTACCGAATCAGGCGCACCTGCAACTTCTAAAAACATCAATTTTGAATAGATCCAAACAAAAACACAATTTTCGAAAGCGAGATTAAAGCAGCAAAGAAGTGTTTTTGTAAATGTTTGTGATTTTTGTTTTTAATTACCGCCAAACTAACCAATTTTAAAGTTTACAACTCTGAACACTTGCTGTAATCCATTTTAAAGTTTAAAAAACAACTTTTGCGACGCAGATTTTCTCTTTAGTTTTGCTTGTGATAAATGAACATTTTCCTTGATTTTTGCAACCCGATTTGTTGATTATTACGCTGTGCACAAAACTGAATTGTAGTACAAAATTGTTCTGGCAATGATATAATTTGCTCAACCTGAAAAAGTACGATTTCAGTCGATGATGGTAAACGGTCACACACAAAAAAATGGAAAAAGAACAACTAGTATGACAATAACGTATTTTAAATGAAAAAAATAAAAATAAAAAAAAACATATTGAAATCTAACATTTTTCTTAGCTATTTTGGGAAGTGTTTATTATAAATTTTACAAAATAATGAGTAAAAAAAAATCTTGAGAGTAAAGATCATAGAGAAAAATAAACGAAAAAAAAAACCAAACAACAACAGCAATAAGATGGAATATATTTAAAGAAGACATATAACTTTTTCAATCTCATTGAGCCTTCTAAAGCGATACTCAAGCCAAATATTTCTTCAAAATTAGTTTGAATAAGGGAAAAATATGCTTATTTAAAAAAAAAATGAAGAATTGTTGTATGTTTTTCCAATGTTTGGTTTTTTATCTGTTCAAAACACACACACAATGACAATAATAAAAACTTTGTGATGTATACACAAACACAACAGCAACAGAATTCAATAAAAATGACTGTTGTTGTTACAAACGAAACTATATTTTTTCCTCGGAATCGCATATGTTTATGGGAATTCAGTTGAATTGTAAAAGTATATCAATTATTTTGGATTTTGATCAATCCTACATTTAGAGAGGAAAAAATGGAACTAAAACTTCAAGACAATAATAAAAAGAGAAAGAAAAGAAAAAAGAACAGATTTCATCAAACTTTTGTCTGTATCTTTAAGAGATTAAATGGTAATAAAAAAGACACCGAAGATTCAAAAGCTTTGTCCAAAGTTTTCTTTCAATGAATTTCAATGAATTTGAAAATCGGACGAATTTCGAACATAATCGTTAATGAAAGACAAATAACAACAGACACATCAGACAATAAATATCATTTTATAATCATTTTAATGAGAATATTCAATAAAAAAACAACAATGAAAAGTCGGCGAGTCGTTTAATCGTACCCCACGCACCTGGTAATTTTCATAGAATAATAATTTTGTCTCAAGTGAATTTAAAAGTGAAGAATGAATGAAAATGGAAAATAATAAGCAGCTTTAATTTTTGCTATATAAGTACTATAACTATTATATTAAGCAGAACGGAGATAAGAGATGAATCACTCTTGACATTGATCATTTGAAAAGTCTATGCATTACACATGAGATGTATGGAACGAATATGCGATATATTGTGCGAATAATGTGCTGTTTTGTTGAAAACGATATGAAGAAAATCAAAAAAAAAAAAAAAAATTAAATAAAAAAAGTGGCAAACATTAGACTCTTGAATCGGAGCCAACTAAATGTCAATTCAATCATGCTTCCGGCCAAGAGTCTCTTCTTTGCCATTTTTGCCGATGAACAATGATTTTCATGTTCAATTTTTTTGTGTTTTCTATTGTTTCACAACAGCACATTTTTTTCATTGCATTGAAAGAAAAGCAAGTATATTTGTAAATAAATCGCTTTGAAAAATGTAATTATCGTGCGCCAATCGTAATATTTGAACATTTCTGCTGTACAGTACTTTTGTTATCTGTCACAGAAGAAATTCAACAGTTCAAATGCAAATTCGGAGATCATTTGATTGCATGCACAATTGATATTTCAATTGGCTGAAAGTAGCTCAATTAAAGTAGTCTTTTGATTAGACGGTGGAGGCAACACAAAAAACGAGATAGCTTTAATTTAAAAAAAAATGCTCAAGTTCACCTTCAAAAAGAATGGTTCCGAATTTGAAGTTTTGCGATTGGTTTTCACGCACATGATGACCACATTTTAAATGGGCAATTTTACAGCAGGTCCCATTGAATCAGTCCATATCAGAATTTAAAAAAAAATCCCCCTCACTATATTTCTAATGAAATAATATCAACAGAAACAAAACAAAGATATCAAATATATTTCTTATTTCAATATTGCGTCGATTTTATTCTGATGACTCTGTTTTCTTTTTGTATTAAAAAAATAAATATGTGACAGAGAATTTAACAGTGAAATTTGCCCTCCGAATCAATGAATCGGTGAAACGATTGCGTATCACGTCTAAATACATATATCAATCACACACACAATACATACAATGATCAAAGGAAGAAAAACAAATATCATTTAAAATATTTCAACCCAATCCAAATGCACACATCAAAGTTCATAACCAAAATATAAAGAAGGTGAAATGCCACATGTTCTCAGCAATTATTGAATTGATAATGGACAATAACAATGATGATGATGACAATAAACAAAGAATGAAAATAAATGTGGACAAATGATTGACGAATAACATGCTTTAATTAATATAAAAAAACAGTAACTTAGACAATAAGACTATTATGAATTATATGTAAAGCGTAGAATGTGAAAATTACTAATAAAGAGAAAAAAGACAAATCGCTCGTTTTATTCTTCAATTTTTTTTATAATTTTGTACCAAAAGGAATAGTTTTAACGTCAGACGCTGAAATGGAGTGAAAATAGTAGAACTGATTGTTATAGTAAAAAAAACTGCCTTTCTTAACACCTAACAATCACTATTTCATTATTTTCACTTCATTTCAGTGCTTGACGTTAGCTTAGTTTCAGCCAAGCGAAAATATCTCAATATAATGTCTGTCCACAAATATCGCAGGAAAATCTATTGACATAAAAAAAAATCGGACATCTTTTACTTTGAAACAGAATGTTATAGATTCTATGAAATTATGCCGATTGAGAACATTTCAACTAGATAACTTTCAAAAGAACTGAGAGGGTCTCTGGTAGGCGAACGAATACAGAAAATAGATCCTTTTTTATTTTGATTTTTAATTTGAAGTATAATTTTTGTCCAATGTAAAAAACACAAATTACTGTTTTTGAGCTATTTATCTATGAAAAAAAATCTAGTTGAAGAAAATCTCAATTTGTTAATTAAAAATGTCAAAAATGTCAAAATACAAGTAATATTTCGATTCAATTTCAAGTAGAAGAAATAACCGTATATTTCAAACGAAGAATAATATTACACGGTAATATTTAAATTTAACATCAGTGTAACCAATTTTTCAAATAGAAATATTGGATAAAATAAACCATTTCATCGGCATTTCACTGTTTATAATTTTCAATTTTAGCGCTACAATCATCACTCTTGCGGCATTTCTATGTTTGACAGCAGGGTTGTATATATACATATAAAACGCAAATGTCACTTTGTCGTTGTGTATGTGTGAAACGTCATTAAGACGATTGTCATAATCGAACAAACAATGTCGCTAGATAGCACGGATTTCTCTATGTATGTAGAATATGCACAACTACAAACGTAATGACCGTCAGCACTAATGATTTTTTCACTGTTAACTCGCACACACATAAGCGATGCGGAGTAAAAAGACGAGAGAAAAAAAAACGTCGACAATATGAACAATGTACACACAGTGACAGTTCGACAGCATTAAGGCGCAAATAGTAGATCGAACGGCTATACGAGAAGAGACAGAAAAACGCCAAGTTGAATTTTAGTTTTTTTGTTTGTTCAACTTTTTCGTACCAAAAAAAATAAATTATCTCAGTTTTTCCATCAATTATAATTTCGCGTCCAAGTATTTTATTATTTCTCGCAAATGATTTTTGTCGTTTGAATGTGTATTAGATCATATGAAAAATAATAAGTTAAAATACTCTGTTTAGCCAGTACTGAAAAAGAACAACACGAACAGAAAAACGACATACACAGAGTAAAAGTAAAAAAAAAGTTTTAAATTTAACGAAAAAAAAATCAAATACACACGATAAAAACATTTGTCTCGCTTTGTATAGACATTGTTGGAAGGAATAAACGAAAAGTTGGCCCCCAAAACGTACTAAATTAAAGTGAATTGAATCCAGATAGCATTTGAGTTGTAACAAAGGCGAAGAAAATAACAAGAAAAACAAAAATGTTTGCATTTATAAAAAATAAAATGAAGAAATAAATCTAATCGGGCAACAAACTGAAGTTTTGTGATCGAACAATAAATGCAGCTCATTAGCAACAACAACAGAAATACCCAAAATAACAACAACAACCACAGTTAATACTGCTGAAAGATTTTTTTCCGAGGCGAATGGAGCAGAAAGAAGATGATGATGCTGAAAAACATTCTATAAATAATAATAATAAGCAAAAAATCATCAAAACGTTTAAAAGTACGACAAAATGCAAACATAAAACCATACGGTGTAGTCGATGCTAACACAAACACAAACACACACCAAATATAGAGATAAAACAAACATTTATTGAAAGACACAGAGAGACAAGAAAAAGATTAGAAGTACCACGAACGCGCAAGATATATCTACAACAAGTGTACTAATTTCGTTGATTTTCATTATGGTTTTTGTTATTTTTTCATCATTTTGATTACAAATCTATTTTTATTGTAATTATTATTGTTTCTGTAAATTTTGGGTTTAAGCAACGCTCGAGTTTTCAAGAGATTTTTAAGACCATTGTTTGTGTGTGATATTGAATAGCTTTTGATAATCGTTTTATCGCTAAATGATCGTTATTGAAACGGGAAAGACGCGTGCATCAAGAATAAGAGAACAAAAACAAATCATCAAAGCAAACAAAAGGCAAGACCCGTAGGTGAGTGTGGATGTGCGCGCGTACGGAATTTTTTCAAACCAAAATAAACGATCGAATATACGATATGCCTGTTAAGGCATATAAATGCATACAATTTAAGAGGAAATGGCGATATTCGCATCATCAGCGATCAAATAACATCAACAGCGCAATATTAATAACAACAATTACACAAATATCGATAAACCGAGCAATTTTCAACGCCTCTAATTCATAGTAAATAAAGTACGTAACCAAAACGACAAAAAACGGCATACGATAAGCGCATTGGTGTATTACTACTCGACAAATAAATAAAAGGCGCAACGGTAGTAATTAATATTCTACAATCGCGTAACAGAACGAAAAGAAAGTAAAAAATAAATAAGAAAAATAGAAGAAAAAAACGTAAACAAATCGAATCGACGTTGTAATTTGACATCTCTAGTGTTACTTTGGATGTGCCATTATTGTGTTAAAAACGAAAAATAATTACAAAACAACAAAAATATTGTTGAAACAAAACCTGCGACACACCGCCAAGAGAGGAGAAAGAGATAGAGTAAGAGAGCAGAGTGAGAGAAAGAAAGAGAGAGAACGAAAATATACGTGAACCGCTAATCAAAATAGACGATAGACATTTTAACGAATTTCAAAAATTTTGTAATTGTAAGATGGAAGTTGTTTCGAATCGTGTCAAAGAGAATCACACTATTTCTGCGGATACATTGGACGATTTGGCCAGTCGATTCATTATCAATATACCGGATAGTGATCGTTCGAATTTTGTACGAATATGCTTTCAAATTGAACTAGCTCATTGGTTTTACTTGGACTTTTATTGTACGGGCGAAGAGAATCGTGCACTTGTGCCGTGTGGTATTAAACAATTTGCTAGCCATATATTCAACGTAAGTAACACCATAAAGATAAATTGAAACAAAAATCGACGATTATTTATATTTGATTTTTTCTTCTTTCTCGGCAGCACATTCCATTTTTGTCGTTGCATGTTAAAAATTTGGACAATATTTTACAAGAATGGAAGCAGTACAAAATGTCTGTGCCAACGTATGGTGCGATATTGATGACAACCGATTTAAAGCATGTTTTATTGGTGCAATCGTATTGGGCGAAGAGTTCGTGGGGTTTTCCAAAAGGCAAAGTTAATGAGAACGAGGATCCATTGCATTGCGCGATAAGAGAGGTAAAAATCAATGAAATTTATATATTTTAAAAAGAAAATGTAATATGACTAAAATGCAACGTTGTTTTGTATGTTTATATTTGACAGGTGTATGAAGAGACTGGATACGATATAGCTAGCTTAGCCAAACCGGATGAATTTATCGAAGGTGTGCTCAATTATCAATATACTCGTTTATATTTGATAAGAGATGTACCGATTGAAACGGTATTTGTGCCACGCACACGCAAAGAAATCAAATGTTGTGAATGGTTTTCAATTGAACATTTGCCAACCCATAAAACGGACCCGGTGTCACGTAATCATTTGGGCATCAATGCGAATTCATTTTTCATGATAATGCCGTTTGTAAAACGTCTCAAAAAATGGATTAACGAACAAGCGCAAGGCAATCAAATGAGCAAAAAATCAAAAGGTTGTGACAGCAAGCATACAATGGCCGGTGTAATAAATAGCAATGCCGTCGCTACAATCACACCACCAATGGCAGCAACCTTAAATGATCGTAACGATACCAAATCACCGAATATGGTTTTCTTTAAAAATAATGCAGGCCATCGACGCCAACGGCACAAGTCAATGGGTGATTTTGACAGTACAAATGTGGTGGCGCACGATTCAACCGGTGATACGTTGCATGCAAATCAACATCATCACCACCAGCAACAACAGCAAAATTCGACAGGCAATAAAATTAATGGATTTACCGATATGAATGGTGTCGGTAAAACAATTGGCGGCAAACGAAAACTATTTGCAATCGATCAAACGACAACACCATCAATACGATCAATATCACCATTTGCCAGCAATTTTCAATTACAACCGGTACCGATCAATACAAACGGTAATGCCATTAACAAACAAGCGTCACAATATATATTGCTGAAAGCTGACCACAATCGAAAAAAGAAAAATGGCAAACAACGAATTGGAACGGAACAGAATGGCGAAGATATGGAGCATCTATCGGAAAATGAATGCCAATCAAGTAGCAAAGGACAACAAAAATGGCTATTTAATCCACCAAAATTATCGCATCTACTGGGCAAAGAGCCGAATATAACGAATTGGTCAAATGTGCGGTTAAACAAGGACGTTATCATGAATGAATCACTTAAATTAACCGGAAAAAAATGACCCAATTTCATAAAATGTTGACCAAAGCAACACACAATACAAAAACAAACGGTTTCCGGCTTCTAAATCAATCAACAATCTGGTTTTTTCTCTTAATTAACAATAAAACAAACTACAAATGGCATGCGATCATCCATTGATAAGGTTTTTTCCCTCTGTTTCAACTCTGTGATGAATTTTATTCATTAGGAAAGTTTCAACTACAACAGTTTTAACCAACGTCTTCGTCAACAGTTTAAAATATCAAAATAATAAACATTTTCCACAATAGGCATGAATCATTTGTCTGCAAGTCAGAATTCGCCACCGTATACAATCAAAATTTAAATTGAAACTGAGATACAATATGTGGCAAACAACCCTACAAGAACTTTCGATTACAATGAAGAATTATTAATTTCATTATGATAGACAACAATCTTCGTATTCGTCCGTTTCCGGACCAATCGCAACTATTAAAAAAAAAAGAAAACTTAAACAATCAATACATTTTTTTTAGTTCAGAATGCGAAATTAGGACTACGAACATTGTTAAATTCAATGAAAGCTTTAAATTTACTATTTTTTTCGAATTGTAACAAAATTCACATTTAAAAAAAAAGAAAAGAAAAAGAAAATACAGAACGAGACGAAAACAAATAAAAGCCAGATATTTTTTATTATAAATTTTATTGTGTTTTATTTCATTCGCCGGAGAAATAAATTTTATTGCTTTTATTTATCACCCATAATTTTTTATTTAAAGATTCACCCATCTGGGACGCGTCAGTATAAAATCCGCAAATTTCGTGCTCACGGAATTAAGGAATTTACCTTTAAAATATGGAAATAGTCGTCCTTGACTGTAGTTAAATCTCAAATGTGCTAAAACCTGCTAAAGATTTAAAAACTAAAATAAAATGCACATACGTTTTGGCCAGTTTGCATGTATTTGTAAACATTATTTACAGTTTAAAATGGGATAAACAATAATAAATTTGGTTAATCATTCAAATGTCTGTCTGTGTATGTTTTTCTTTTATTTGATTTGGTAAATTTGGGATTTACATTTCCATTGTGAAAATAAATTTAATATATATCTTTATATCTTTACATGAAAATTCATATGGATTCATGGTGCTTACAGTCACCAACATAATAATAATAATAAGAGAAAAAAAAACAAAGACAGATTGAAACAAACAAAATAGAACTGGAAGATATTAACAATCATCAAAATTAAATGAAATAATTCTGTTTGCTAAATTATGTGACGAATTTCTACTTCAAATATATTCAAATATTATTGTTTTTCCTTTCTAATAAATTGGATAAATAAAAAAAAAACATAAAATTGCTAAAACGAAAAGACTAATACATTGAAGAGTGAAAAATGAGGGAAATGAGCAAGGATATCGAGCGAGACAATAGATCTCAAACTCGTTGAATTCCCTGTTTTTTTTCATTTGTATAATTTAAACACAAACTAAGTAAGTAAATGTCTAAATTGAAATGTATAAACATGGTAATTACAGGTGAACCTGCATTAAAAAAACGTTTTAAATGGTTTACTAATTTCCTAAATAGGAAAATCTCTTTCTCTATTTCACTCTTCTCTATCTCACATTCACCACCTTTTTTTATCGAAAAATAACTGAATGAGTTACAATTTGTTACATGATTTCTCTATTTATATATAATTTGGTAATCGATCTGTTTTCATTAAGTGTTTTAACTTTTGTCAAGTAAAGGGGTGGGTCATTGGTACAATTTTGAGACGTTGTCGGTCGCCACTTTTATTTCTTTAATTCATCGACTAATTTATACAATTGGTTTATGTGTGGTTCTGTTTTTTTTTTTTTTTGTTTTCGCAAGAAAAATAAGTGTCAATTCTTAGATTTACAAATATATCGAATAAGTACATCCATTGAAATCAAATCTAAAAAATAACAGCGGAGACAAGAAAACACACGAACCGAATAATTTCCTCGATTGGTATCGGTGCCGATATTGGTTCAATTTATACAAGAAATGACGAAGATTTAATAAAAATAAACAAAACTAAAAATTCGATTGACTCAAAATTTATGATTTCTTCTTTTCACTGTCTGTCTCTTTCTATCTAAGTGCACGATCAATCGTTTTCATTGAATTATGCTCATTGACTCAAAATTTTATACAATTGTTTTAATCGGACTGTGTTGAGATGTGGTTGGTGTTGTTGTTTTTTTCTTTTTTTTTGTCACATTTACATTATCGGAATTAACGAAGTAGGGCGATCGAATGAGCGCTGTTTAAAATGCGTTTGAGCAGCTGAAATGTAATTTTACTTAGTATGGCTAGTATCAAATAATGTAGTGCAATAGTTGTTGAAGTAAATTTCAGCTGTTCGATGTCGCCAAAATATGATTGATTTGTGTATTATTCGTTAAGTTATCGCAATGATTGCTTTGAATGTGATTGGTAAACGGTTTGGTGGTGGAATTGGACTCAGGTGTTGCCGATTCTGGTGGCGTGGATGGCGGCGACGATGGTGGAATCGTCATCTCTGAATGGCTATTATTCAATAAGAATCTATTTGGTGAATTAATTGAATTAGTGTCATTGCTATTGGTTATTGAAGGCGATCGTTGATTCTCTTTATCACTATTATCAATGACATTATTTTCGGAAATTGCAATCGGCGGATTATTTCCGGTCGATTGTAAAATTATTTCCGTTTCATTGTCACTGTCCTGTTCATAGTCATCTTCAGCTCTGCTCTCATTGTCACTATCAAAATCTTCAAAGAAACCTTTTAATACACTATTGCAATTGTTGAGCGTCATCAGATCAGATTCAACGCAAATTTCCGTAAATGATTTCGGCGATTGATGATCTTCTTCGCTATTATTTGTAACCGTGGCCACCGCCGATGAAGGTGTCGATGCTGATGCTCCGCCACCGGATCCACCGATATCGTTTGAATCATTTCCGAACATAGGACTGATCGGTGGCCATGATGGTGTTTTTCGTAGATTATTTTCAATTGACAAGAATTTACGACGTGATTTTTCGATATTATGAAACCGATAGCGCAAACGTCGAAACAGTAAATTCTCAATGAGATAATACTCGATGAACATTGAAATAAGAAAATTTGCCAAACCAAAACCGACAATTGTATAACAAAATGTCGCGTCGGGTGGATAAAGCAAATCAAACCAATCAATAAATTGATCCGATTTATATACGGCCAACACCACGGTAACCACAGCATTGATGAGAAGACTGCAAATGAAACCGATATTTGTAAATATCGATTTACGATATGGAGCACCTTTTGAAAAGACCACAGCCAATATGATGTACTGGAAACATGATATTACGAAAATGGTATAATTTTCATAGCAACCGTGCTTAAATTTATCATCATCGCTGTAGACAAATGGTTTAAACCATGTTTGCGCCTGCAAATAATACCAGCCAAGCATTTGAAAGCCAAACGCAATCGATAAATGCAATACAAGCGATGCAATCGGCGACACAGATATCAATGAATTTAATGGCGTTTGTTTAACTAATGGTCCTACATATGCTTCCGTTTTGCCAAAGAAAAATGCAAATATCGAAATCATAAACAAATCGATGTATAAATATTCAATATCAGTCAAATTTGAATCGATTGTATACAGTGTAAGTACAGACATTAATTGGACAAGTGAATAGGCGGCCATGTATTTAAAAATGGCCACCGATGTGACCAATGCACAACGGCCCTCTTTTATGACATTCGGTACGCATGCAATCGTTGGATTTTTCGATGTAAACGGTGATGCAACCGAACTTTCGGCTTCCGACAGTGAAATTCCGGTGTGTGCTGCTTTTAATGCACCACAATCGTTGGCACCATCACCGCACATTGCAACATAATAACCTAATTCTTGTAATTCCGATACTAAGGCTTGTTTATTATCCGGTGACATGCGAGCAAATACAGTGCCACGTGTCACAAATTTTGGCAACAATTCGGGAAAATGATCACGTATCACGGTCCACGTTTTTCCAGTCATTGCAAATCGATAATTATTGTTTGGTAACTGAGGCGCCATAAATGTATTCTCCACATCATCATAGCCTTCATATTGATGACTATTATGACTATTATGATGTAATTTGGTGTTATCGTTTCCCATTTCAAGATCACGATGTGTGATTTGTGTCGTTTGTGTGCATGTATCGACGGTTTCTAAGCTTGCAATACTGTTGCTATTTGTCATCAACATGTAATCGGTGCCATTTTCGATAGCCGTATTTCGTTCGTTTACAATGAAACCGTTCGGTTTCGTTTTCAATTGATCGTTGTGCAGCTGCTGTAAGTGTGCGGCCGATAAATTCAATGGTAACATTACATTGTTTGGTATTTCTGTTGTGTTGATGGTATTTATGGTTGTGGTTGTTGTATTTATTGTGGCATTATTCATTAAAGCTGGTGCGCTTAATTGATTATTGTTGCCTGATGGCCCCGTTAAATGATAGATAAGCTCATAATCGGTTGAATGGAGTTGCTTTTGTTTTGCTGTCACAATAATCACATCTTGACCAGTTGGAATCATATCGCAATCGTGGGCAACGCTCAATGCTGTCAAAATATTATCACCGGTTACCATAATGGTTCGAATGTTCGCTGTCATCAAACTTGTGATTATGTCAATTGTATCTGGTTTCAAGCGATTCTCCAATATGACAAAACCCAAAAATGTCAAATCACATTCAATTTGTTCGCGTGATAGTCGCTGCACCTTTGTAAATGACACCTTTTTATTTAAACTTTTATAGGCCATGGCAATGATACGGTAGCCTTGTTGAGCATACACATCCAATTTTGTATGGAAATCATTCGGTATTGATTCCTATTTTTTTTTTTTTGGTTTAAGAGAAGACAAAATTCATAAGTTATAATACACTACTGCCACAAAATGAATTCATTCCAAAAAAAATGAAAGGACAATACATACTGGTTTGCATAGTGTCTGTATCATTTCGGGAGATCCTTTACAATAGACATTGAAATTTTTATCCATAAGTTTTCGCGTCACTACTGCCATCCGTTGCAATGAGCTTGTGAACGGGAATTCACGAACGATACCAATATCCATGTCACCATTCAATTCAGAATTTGATGATCGATTTTGTGTTTGATCCAAATCATTTATCGTATCCATGCTGCTACCTCGACTATTATCAACTGCAAGTGTATAAAAAAAATTAAATCCTCACCATTCACAATATTTCAAAAGAGACAAAAAATGAAATTCGCCAAAACTCACCGAGTTGCGGTGATTTTCGTGGCCGAACAATTGTCGGAAAGATAAGATCATATTTGGTGTCATCAGAAATATTTGCTTCTTCTAAAATCCAATTGGTTGACTCAAACATCTTCAAATCCAATGGATCACCTTTTAGTTCGCCATTCATAAAGGTTATTGAATGACATGTGGCCATTCCATAAAGTAAATGATCATAAGGCAAACGCTCAATTTCACGCAATGGAATTTGGAATAGATTCGTCGACGATGTTGGAACAACACCCCACATATCCAGACCGTCTTCGGTCAACGTACCCGTCTAGCATAAGATAATAAAATACCAATTTTAGAACTACTGTTGTTCAAGAGAATGATCGAATATTAAAAAAAAAGAAAATACCTTATCGAAGCATACACAATCAATGCTGCCAGCCACTGTGATTGATCGCGGTGAAATGCAAAACACTTTATTCTTTTCTAAACGTCGTTGAGCATAAAATGAGCCAACAGCCATCGCTGCTGGCAAAGCTGGTGGTACGGCTATCGTTATCAAATCCAATGATTCGATTGCAATTTTTGTGGCCGAAATTCCTTTTTGAACCTAAACGGAAAAAAATTAATATTTCCATGAAAAAAAAGTTCAATCGCATTTTATTTTTTGATATGAATAAATGTTGATTTTTATAAGTACCAAATTTCAAGATAAATCAAGTTTATAGATGGATAGCACCATCATTGGAAGCTCACCTTTGACACAACGGTGTATATAAATCCAAGAGCGGCCATAAGACTAAGCAATGCAATAAATTTATAGGAATCTTGTTCGAATTTATAATCAACCGGTGGTGGATATAAAATTGATCGAATGAGGCCACCTTTAGCTGTTATATTGCCAGTATTGATAACACAGGCAAGCACTTTTTCCGTGCCAATATATCTTGTTTGAATGACTTTTGTACCAGAAAATAAAACGTGTCGACTGTGTTCTCTCGTATCAAAAATTAGATCACGTATGCATGGTAATGGTGTTTTTGTGATCGGTACACTTTCGCCTGCAAATAAATGAGTTTTATTGGAAAATTCAAAATGTTTTCTTCATTTTTTTATTTTCATCATACCCGTCAACATTGATTCGTCTAATATGCAATTGCCGCTCAATAGGACTGCATCACATTGCATCGTACATCCGCTGGATGGAATTTCAAGTATGTCACCAGGTACTATGTATTTGGTATCGATTGTTTGTGATTTTCCATTTGCTCGTACAACGACGGCCGTTTCGAGATTCATAACCGTTTTGTAAAGGGCCAGTTGATTTTTTCGCGTTTGAATAATTGACATTGTGATACCAAACACGGACATAAATACAATCACAACCGCATAGTAATAGTAATTGTAGGAAAACCATAAACCAACCGAAAATACTTGGAACACATTATATGGATTTAATGCTTCTAGAAATAGTAATGTTAAGACACTTTTCAGCGGTATGAAAATCTGATTTAGGCCATAAACTAATTGGCGTGCACGCTGTGTATGCACATCCAATCCTTTCAATTGATGCAATAATGTGGCTGGCACATTTGCATCGAGTCCTTGTAGCTTTACAAACGATGACGACCGCTCATCCCAAATATAACGCAATTGCTTGCATTTGAACAACCGCAATGAATCGAAATCTATCGAGAGGAAGAGAAATAACAAACAACGTTCCACACATAAAATACAGAAGAAAAGAAATTTTTTTTTGAACAACGAACAACTCACTTTGAAATATTCCACCCGATAAATGTATAGATAAATGAAAATTTTTCTCATCAAAATCGGACGCTGTATCGCTTTCATCGAATGGCATAAATTCATTTTTTCCGCTTCGTTTAGCACGTATTTTCCTGCAAATTGAAATGATGTGTTGAGAAATGAATTATTTGCAATGTGTTTTTTTATTTGGTACTGTGAGACACACGAAATGTGGGCCAAATATATTTTCTACGTATGAGAATGCATAGTGATAGAATCTCAAGAGAGAAGCAAGGAAGAAAAGAAACATAGCAAAATCTCTTAAGTAGATTTGATGTTGACTTACTGGAACCATTCAGCATCCATGGTGATTACATCTTTCACATAATGTACGGTGTGTTTGCCTTCAAAATATTCACGAATCAGAATTTTTTTCGCCACATTTAAATCACATGGTCGATGTGTTGCAAAGAGTAGCCAGTGTCGGCGCCAATGCATAAATAATCGAATTAGACCGGCCGAAAGTATAAATGCAATCCATGTAAGTATTGTTTTTACAATTGAGCGCTCATAGCCAGTAATTGTGATCTCATCGTCTTCGCCCACATTTAAAATGGCCGTTGTTTTTGCCGGTAAAGTTTTCGAGGTAGGAAGTGATGATTTGGATTCATTTCCTGTCAATAACAAAATAAAAATCAAATAGAAATTGTTTGAATAATTATTTTTCGAATGTTAAAATCTTTTTACAAATGGCATACGAAGAAGTTCATAATGACAATAGCAATAAATAATCGATTGATATAATAATTGAAAATGATAAACGACAAAAAATATCGTTCAACAAGAGACTTTGTGTGCGTGTGTGCATAATTGTTTTTAATAATTGAATAGTGCAAGTACCTTTTAAGAGCTCGGCTCTTTGTTCTAAATATTCGGTATGTTCTGGATGTGTACTGTTTTCTACACCCAGACTATTCTTACAAACTATACGTTCAGCACGATTTGGACTTAACGGTACAATTTCCTCATCAGCAGCAGTACACGACAATGACAATGCCATAATGTTTGCATCATTATCAAAAAATTCACAATCATTTTGTTGGCGAAAGCGATTTTTACGTAAATGCATTGTGCCGCCGATTAAAAACCGACGTAAACGCATTAGATTATCGCGAATCGTTGATTTTCGTGCCGTCAACGACGATGTCGATGATGATCGTCGGCGTCGGCGCTGTTGTTGTTCTTGTTGACGCGATTCAGTCGATTGTTGTTTGAAATTTAATGTTGTGCCACAAACATTAGATGATGGTACGGAGCTAGATGTAGTCATTTTTATTAGATAAACAATTTTGATTTGTCACTTTCACGAATTCGAATCGATGCACAAACACACACATACACACATCGACAGACGATTGACGATGGCGGTTTTTTTGGTTGAATTTTTCGTAAAATTCGTAAATTAAAATTGACTACACCTTAAGCACAATTGATGTTATTCGTTGACGATTTGTCGATGAGGTCTGCTGCTGTGGGTATTTTAGTACCTTTTCAATTTGAAAACTTTTTTGCTTTTCTCTTCACTAGCTGATTGAAGGATGAATTTTAGATAATTTATTTAATTATTCTATTGGTCGATAACGCATCAAGCGTTATTTATTTCGATAATGCATCCAACGATTATTTTTTATTCACAACTTCCGGCCAATCCAGCCCGTCTTCAACGTCGTTCCACTCTCTCGCATTCACGAAACACAACACTCGTTTTCTGCTTACATTTGATTTTGACCGATTACATCGGATGGATTAACAACAACAATAACAAACGGAAATGATAAATTTAACAAAAAAAAACTTGATTTTTTTTTCGTCTTCGTCGTCTTTCTTCAGCTGTGATTATAGTTTGACTCTTACATTTGAGTTCCTTTTTCTTTCAATTTTAAAAATTAGTCTAATGAATTTTAAAATCACTCTTGAATATACACATATTAGATGCCTTTTATGGTGGATTTTCTTTAAAAATGTTCACTATTTACATATTGGATACACTTATTGGGCCGGGTTCTCTCGTAAACCGTCTACAACTTTGGTTACGTTTGTCGCTTATAAAATCTTCAAATAACACTGAAAAATATGAGACAAAGAAGAAGGAAGAATAAACATTTTATTTTCCACAACAACGAAAAAAATGTCGAGACACTTTGGGGTTGCATTGTTCTGTTCAGTCGAATTATTTAGCGAAGCACAAGAAAAAAAGAAAGGATCAATGGACGATGGTTTTTCATTTCAGAAAATAACAATTCAAAGTGAATATTCTTCGTCGCAGCTATGGTTGGCTTTTTTATGATTTTTATTTCAGTTCAAATCTGATAATGAATTATCTTAGGGTATGATTGTTCTATTCATCAGCAAATACACATTCAATCTTGACCAAAAGTATGGTCCAAGTCAAAAAATAAGATGAATTGCTTCAATGGTGAAAAGCGAGAGGGAGATTCATTTCCTGATTGCACAAAACAAAGAATTGTGCACACGTTCAAATCGATTTCTTCACAAATAAAAGCAACAACAAACATTGCAATAAATCTGATTGCAAAATGGTAACCTATGAATAGAAAACAATGTTTTATACATTTTTATTTGCGATTGTGTTTGGAAAAAATGCAAACAAAGTATATGATTTATAAAATTCTAAACGGGTATGGTATGTTTGCTGCCATTTGTTTTTCATAAATAACGTTTAGAAACTATACTCATGCCTGTTTAACTGATTTCTTTGCTTCTTTTTCAACTTGTAGGACTTAAAAGTTGGGAAAAAAAGGATTCAAAAGTCGAGCACAAAATTGCTTTGAGTCAATATGCTTATGAGTTTATATTAATAATTTACTGAGTCATGAAAGAGAGGAATTCCCTTAAGGGAGAGAGAGTGAGACCCCCAAGAGAAAAGAATGAACGAATAAAAATTGAGTTAGGAAGTTCTATGCACCATGAATTGACGTAAGCTGCTTCATTTGAAATCACCTCGACCATCACGTAGTATATATATGCACAAAGTACTCGTTCTCTCTCATTTCTTCCAATCTGGATGTGACAAAAAGGTGACAATGATACGAGACACAAAAAGAGTGAGTCAAGAAAATGATGACATGTGAAAGCAAACAGAAAACGCTTCCGAATATCGTCATCATCATCGTCGTCGTCGTTATAAACATCTGAAGAATTGAATGGCCACAACCAGAGGCAAATATGATATATATATATGCATATATGTGTGTGTGTTTATGAATCAGGATTTAATGTATGCAGAGACACTATAGGTTAATAACCGGCAATACCAAATAATCATACATTGCAGCATGTCTGCATGTGAAAATGAATGTCTACACTGTGTGTATCGTTGCGAAAATAAAATTGAAATCCGGCGACTTTGAATGAGTTTTTGTCCAGTTGTTTTTTTCTTGCAGCAATTTCATTACTCTGCCATCATGTTGACATTAAGAAAATCGGACGGATCAGCATTTTACGATTATGAATGGTATACGAGGAATGGCATATGTAAACAACCATATTGTAGTACATAATGATGGCATGCGGTTTTTTACTAATGATACTCTTATGCGGTAGTACATTGTCACATCGAAATACAAAATGCGTCTGAGAGAAATACGCGCGCACCGGTAACGATGTTGCTACCAACGAATGGTAAAAAAGGGATGAATCAAGTTCAAATGAGAATGAACTCGAAACTCAATCGAAATATATGAATATACGCTGCTACATGCATACGAGCGAAATTCAATTCAATGACTTTGGTCGTGTATGATGTTGTTTCTCGGTTTTCATTCTTCGTCATTTGTTTAAATTGATTGAAGTTTGTAATTATGATTTGGGATGATTTAGCCGACGCCAATGATTCAAAATGAATTCGTTGGTTCAATTAATAACATTCAATCTGTCAATTGTTTCCATTTATGATTTCTCCGAAATGATGGTTCGTCGCGAGTAAATGTGAATAGCGATTTTGTTCAGATTGTAAGAGAACTAAGTGCTTCAATCAAATTGAGACTGAAATTACAAATGCCACCAAATTACATTCATTGAAAATCACTTGAGTTCAATTGGATCAATTAATACGAACGTTAAAAAAAATCTGTCATAGCCATTGGCTTATAAATAACGCATTTTGCCATGCATTTTGATGGCGTGTCTGTCAATTCTCATGTGTTGCTTTATCAAATTGTTCAGTACCAATGCTTTTGCACCATACACCGTTCGTTTTGCTTGACTTCATATGCTCGGTGTTGATTTATTTTATATTTATTAAAATAAAGTGAAAACAAAGCACATAATACGAGCAATATGAAAAATATGGTTTGAATCAATGCCAGAATTGCGACCGATTTAGAACATGTACGACCAATGTCCAACCAACATACCGCCAATTTATCATACCACACCATGCGCGCGAAGATAGAGAGAAAAACATTTAATCGGAATGTGTAAATAAAAGGAGATTTCGATTGGTTAAATGGAGCGTCTCTAATGAAATTTCGATTAGTTTCATTTTTCGTTTCTAACTCTTTTTTTCACCATGTAATTGATGTTTTGAAACCATTTATTTTAGCCGTTTTTGACATCGATGACGCATTCAACCGGCTGTATGTCAAATATAGCATACAACAAAATCACTAAATTACATCAAATAACGATAGAGAATACATCATTTGAATAATGGGCATTTACTGTTGTTGACAGAAGTGGCACACAACGATGACACAATCGAATGGAACAAAAAAAAAGCTGGGGCAAAATAACTATACAAATCAGCAAAAAAACCGCAATCACTTTCCCTTATGTCAAAGTATTTGTGTTTGCCTCCATCTCTATGATGTTCGATCAATGCTATTTTCATGTACACACCTCACAAGCGGAAAGCCAATGACAAAATAAACAAATAAAAAAAAATACACAAAAGCAACTTAAAACGAAGCCAAACCAAACGAAATATGACTGTGCGCTTCGGCATTTGTGTACTTTTCAAGTACGCAAAGGGGACTCATCCAAAAAGTCAATATATTTGTTAAATAATTCATCAAACCAAAATTCTTTGAACATATAATACATTTTTAGTTTCACATCCAAATATGCTTGGTAGATTAGTTCATTTCAGAATTTTATTATTCGCATACATTTTCCAATTTATTTGTGTGCATATTTCATTTCCATTTTATTTTTTGTCGAATCAACAATAAATATGCACAAGCTCATGTGCCAGCGCACTTTTCCAATTAAATCTGGAAATTCTTGATATTGAGGGAAAAATGTGGGAGCAAAAGAGAGAGAAAGAGAGAGAGAATGCAAAAAAAGGACACCAGTCAACTGAAATTCACGCGAATATACTCAATTAATTTTATGTAGTTTGAGAAACAACGCGTAGTGCCAAACAAGCTCGCTTGCCAGCCAGTGACTACAGCGTTACTGTCATAACGTACATGAAATAATCCAACAAAATCCGCACAAATCGAGGACGACATTAGTGCTCACACATATATGTAAAAATTTATATAATAAAAATGTGAGCAAAAGCGCATACACATTTTTGGCCCTCAATTTCATGAGATGCTTGTTTTTATATGGTATACGAACAAAAATACACCAAATATTTATATATTATTGTTTGGTGTGCACATTTCAAATATACTATTCATTCTATTCTTGATTCGATATGATTAGGTGAATGTTGGTTGAATTTTTTTTTTTTTGATGTTGATGGCTATACGCCAGTATAGTGTCTGATATTTTTATGTTCCAGCAACCGGTATATCAAAAAAAAAAAATGAATTGATGATGAAAAACTTATCGCCATTTCTCACAATTTCGGGTCAATTTTTAGCCAAACATTAAACACACATTTCAATAGGTTATTGACGCTTCTCGATTTTGTATTGTTTTTTTTGTGTTCGTTTGTGTTTTTGGTTGAAAATGACGAATCGCAGAAAAATTTCATAACATTGAGCAACAAATGTTAAAGCTTTCATGTAATTCATTTTCACATGATGTTTGTTTATTTGTTTGCTAGTTTATTCGTTGATATTGTTTTGTGAATGAATCATTGAGTATGAGAGAAATTGGATCTTGCGTCATTTCAATTGGATCGAAAGAACAAAAATCCTTACAAATGTAGATCAGATAGCACACACACAACACTATATGTATGAATGAGTGAGTAAATCAACAACAATAGACAAGAAAATTCTCATCATTTCATCCGTCATCGGTTGTTTGTATGTCTATCATTCATAATTGGTGTACATGTGGATGTGGATCGTGTTTCATTTGCCGTTGTGATTTCAGTTATTTTTCTCTGTCGTCACACATTCATCGATGATACCTTGATTTCTCTCATACATTCTGTCGACATTACCAATCACCATTTGTCGCATTCGTTTCATTCTCAATCTAAATTTGAATAATAATTCACAGTTTGCCAAAACGATCATTTATGCATCTATTTTTAAAATGTGCTCCGCTCAATTGGATCGGCACAAGGAACAACACACAAAAAATAGACTGATGAGCGACAATAACCGCAACATCGAAGAAGAAGAAGAAAAAAATCATGCGAAATAACAAGAAGGCGACGACGACAGAAGGTATGAGAGAGAAAAAGTGGTTTTTTAACAACGTGCACCCATAGCAATAGCACTGTTTCTAGCTTACAAACCATGGAATTTTTACATACTGCTTCGAACAGGGAGACATTACACACTACTTCGGTGTTATTTACTCGCTTTCCCTCGTCGCTCTAGCTCTCTCTTTTGCTCTCGCGATATTTCAGCCGCATACGTGATTCAATTAAAGAACGAACAAACAAAAAACATTTTTGCTCTTCGGTTGTTAATGAATTGTTGCCAACGAATTGAAACGCGCTAAAATCGCACACAAACACAACACACTATTTACATATTCGGCCGAAGCCAATCGCAAATTTAGACATTTTATTTGAACGCATAAACGATGAGAAGGGCGCGAAGAATTGAAAATGGACTTGCTAACGAGGGTTTGTTTCGTTCGATTGTTAGGATTATTCCATTTTATTGTTATTGAGGAATTTTTTGAATTTT